AAGTTAGCATTCACGAAGAGTGCACTGAACAAGTATGGAGCAAATAAAGGAATATTTCACTAGTTGGATGCCTTGTGCAAAGCAGGATCTCAGAAAACACAGAATAATCGGGAAATAAGGCCATGATGAGGGAACGCATGTCATGAGCTGTACGGATTTGCAGGAGTGGTGTCAAGATCAGATTACTCATATTTGTGACTTTCTAGAAGGCTTCATGGGGAAAGTGGGATTTCATTCAAAACAGATATGTTCAAGAATTACATGTTTAATAAGGTCTTAGAACTACTGATTATCAACAATGATACTACTCTTACCATTCCCTCTGGATTAATTCAAATTTGCAAAGTCCTTTGTAAAATGCTAAGCCCAGAGTTGATGCCATTTTGTAAATCTCTGGATCCAATCTCACACTTGGTTGTTTTTTTTTTTTGTTTTGTTTTGTTTTTCTTTTTCTTTTTTAATCCCAGACAAGGCCTTTAAAAAATATCTCTGTATGGGGCACCTGGGTGGCTCAGTCAGTTGAGCATCTCCTTATGGTTCAGGTCATGTTCCCAGGGTCTTGGGACCAGGCCCCACATTGGGTTCCCTGTTCAGCGGGGAGCCTGCTTCTTCCTCTCCCTCTGTCTCTCCCACATCCACTCATGCTCCTTCTTTCTCTCTCTCTCAAACAAAATCTTAAAAGATACAAATATCTATGTTGATCACTTCATTGAACATCTTTTTCATGTGATTACCCACTATAATCTGGACACTGATTTTTAGTTTTATCTGAAAAGGAACCATGTCCTTTTTTTGGTACCTCAACGTTTTAAGACTCAACAATCCATGACAAAGCTGAAAAATATGTTAAAGACCATATGGTGGACAATGAAATGAGGCAGAATGACTTGCAAATATATGGCAGAGTCAGAAAAACAATAATTTAATAAAATAAAAAGTATGCAAGAGCTCTTGATTTCTAATCACTATTTTTATTACATAAAATTGCTTAAAAACTGATGGATGATTTGTAGCTAAGTTGTCTCGTGGTGTATCTGAATGTTGTTTGTGATTCTCAGATGTAAAAGTGCCAACACCAGTTCAGCTCAGGCTGGTTTTTCCTCCCCCTCTCTCCTGAGACTTTCCAACACGCAAAGTGAGATGGAGGGGCTAACTCTTTTCTTTGACTAATAAATTATATGACAATCTTATCTCAAAAAGTAGCTCACAATTGGACTTATTGCTAAAAGACAAAAACTGATGAGTCCTGTTCTTTTATTTAAAGTTTCCTTCTCTCAAAACTTTTTATTTTAAAGATTTTTTAAAATTTATTTGACAGAGAGAGCTCAAGCAGGGGGAGTGGTAGGCAGAGGGAGAGGGAGAAGCAGGTTCCCCGTTGATCGAGGAGCCCCATGTGGGGCTCCATCCCAGGACCCTGGGATCATGACCTGAGCTGAAGGCAGACACTTAACTGACTGAACCACCCAGATGTCCCAAACCAATGATCTTTTTTAAAAGTTTTGAGAAAGGGTGCCTGGGTGGTTCAGTTAGGTAAGTGCCTGCCTTCAGCTCAGGTCATGATCCCGGGGTCCAGGGATGGAGCCCCACATGGGGCTCCTCGATCAACGGGGAGCCTGCTTCTCCCTCTCCCTCTGCCTACCACTCCCCCTGCTTGAGCTCTCTCTGTCGATTCAATAAATAAGATCTTTAAAATAAATAAAATAAAAAGATCATTGGCTTAAAAATAGATTTCACATGATCAAAATTGAGATGTAGCAATGAAAAAATCTTAAAGGACATGTAGAATTCCTTTGACAAATTATTTTTGGTTGTTTCTCAGTGCAGCCATGCCTGCAATACTCTTTTAATTAAAAAATTAACTGTACAATTATTTTCTACAACTGTAAAAATGGTGCCAGGATTCAAGGTTTTGGTTTGTGTAATATTTTCATTTTGTTGTTGAAAATGTGGGAAGTCCTAGCTTAGTTCCTCTGTCCTTTGGAAGGGTAAAAAATGTTAATGTAAGAAAATTATTTAGTTTTCTATTTCAAGATCAATTTTATAGAAAATTCATCTACCAGATATATGGTGTTTTATTTTCAGGGATAAGAGGAAAAAGCATCTAAAACAATATAATTATTATATTCAGAAATAAATTTTGGCATTATCCTTTATTGTCATCACATGACTTTGAACTGCTGGCCCACTATAACTCAGTAAAAGAATGCAGATAATTTATATACACCCACACTCTCAAATTAGTTTCTTTAGAAGGAAGTGACAGTATCATTTGTGAAATAAAAATCAGTGTTATTACATCTTATTGGAAACCTATACTTAACTTCTATAGATGTTCCAAATAAAGACTTTCTTAAATTAAACATAATATAACTAATAATACTGAATTGTCAATCAGAAGGTATTTGCCATCTCTCTTCTAGGCAAATTAGGTTCTAAATTTTAGCGCCAAATGCATAGAATTTTTTAGATAAATATAACCGTGATTAAACAACTTCATTTGATGTTAGATGGGCCAAGTTACTTGAAAATTATCAAAACAACGTAAGCAAAGACCCCTCCCATCAAAAGTTATAGGTATTAGTAAGGAGTTCTATTTATGCATGTTTTCTGTACATGAGTTCATTTAATTAATTAATTTGGGTAACTTTAAGCTTCAGCGAGCATTAATTAAATGTAATTGTGTATGGCCAGAAAACTGAAGATAAGTGTAATTTAAATTTTTTTCAAATTTTAGCTTGCCTTTAAATTTTGAAATTAATGAGTCCTGACTTGCATAATATATATTTAGTAACTATCCTATTTTAATTTTCATATACTGATCAAATCAAGCTATTATTTTATGGCTAACATAAACTACCAGCAGCATTAGCCTAATATAATATATGTGTCAATTCAGCATGTTGTTAATCATCATTAATATCATCTCTTCCTTGCCCGTTTAGGAATACGTGTCTACAGTTCTGTTTTACAACTTTAATTCTTCATGTGTACTAAGAACTTAATACACAGTGCACAATTCTTAACAATGTATTAGAATAAACCAAAGAGTTATTTTCAGTTTTCTACTGGGCATATAAGGTGATATGACAGTTGGATAAGAGTTAGACATATTTTGTCTCCAAAGTCTTGTTTCATTTAATTCAAGAGAATTAAAATGTATAAATTAAAGAAAATTTTTGTAGTATTTCATTTTGTATTTTTTAAAATCATGTATTGGATGCAAACAATATTTAGTCAGATTATTGGATTTATAATAAAACACAATACTAGAGTACAGGCATGATATTTTTGTCAATGGGTGATTTCATCTATTAATATGTGTATACTTTGTTTCCATTAAAAAAAAAAGCAAACTGCTTAAGTAGTAGTAAGTTCAATTGTGATAAATTTCAACTTTGCATTTGTGCACCAAAATAAACCATACCTTAAAAAAATTCGCCAGCATCCTTTAAAAGAAAAGAAGCATGTTTAACTATCAGACACAGGTTTTCTGTGAACTCTTTTGCTCTTCCTATGAAAGACATACTTCTAAGCTTTAGCTGTACGTTTTTTATTGGCACATTTCTGAGTATAAACACATTTTATAGACCTCCATAGAAATGATTGCCCAAAAAAACATATAAATTATGTAAATTCTCTTAAGTTAAATTTTCTGTGATTCATGCCCAGCATTCAGTGTCCGGGTTGAGAGTCAAGTGCCATTGTCAATTACCAAGTTCCCAGCCCTGAATTTCCCACAGGGCATGGCCAGTTTTCTAAAAATCTACATCAGAAAGTATCTATTGTAGAGGGCCATCTATTCACTGGAATGGTTACCTTCAAGAGAGCAAACTCAAAGGGCGTTAGGCTGAGTAATAAGAATATTTTTGACAGCGGCACTCGACATGCATGACTGTTACACGATTCATCTCCTTCTGGTCTCCATGTTCTTCTGCTAAGTGGGCTGCTCCCTGTGGCTCTGTACAGTGGGGATAGCAGAGGGTCATACAAGAGGTATTTTAAAGCGCTCTGGTATCATAGTGTGTGCTTGACGGACAGAATAAAATGTATTCCTCCAGCTGTTCAAGAATGAGGGCAGGAGGGGTAGATAGGGAAATGAAGGCAGAATGAGATCCTAGTAAATCCTGCAAACGTAGTGTACCCGGGCCTTGAATTCTCTTCCTTATCTCCAACTTATAACTCCATCCAAAAATCCTTATATTTTCTCCTTAGTCCCAGCCCACGATAGCCCAGCCACCTACAGGGCAGGATTCCACATACTGCCACAAATTTACACACACGCACACACACATGCGCACACACACACAGATCTAAGCTGAATCTTTGGTACCGTTGAAGAGAATTGAAGCATTTTAAGACGAAGAACTAAACTTACATTATCTGAGGTATGGTAAAAAAAAGAAAATAACAATAATAACAAAAATTAAAAGTGCAATGAATAAGAAAAATGAAAAAAATCCACGTTACAAATGGGCTATAAACACATTTATATTCATAAACTGCATTCAAATGGTTATGTCATATTAATTAAAATAAAAAAGTAAGAAAATATGCTCAATGCAGAGGTACTTTTTAAAAAAAAAACCAAAAAAACAAAAACAAAAGTTAATAAAAATATTTCATCTGCATCAAAATATTCTTTGGAAACCAAAAATAAAAATGTATCATGTGTGTTCTTTCAGGTTGATCTGTAAAAGCCGGAAGAGTACGTAGTCCGCGCTGTTGAACTTCCAGAACATACTGGGTGCCAGTAAGCACAGAGCAGAAGGCTTTCCCGTCTTGGGCGCTGAAGCCGTGTGCTCCCCACTTTGCACGAAGAATTCCGGTTCAGCTCCTCTCAGAAAACATCTTTGTTTCGGTGGCACTGAAACCCGTGACCTGACTTCGAGACGGTGCAGGAGAGCTGGAGCTGGACCCAATATTCTTCTTTCTCAGAGTCGTCAGCACAGCCCTGGAAGCTCCCGAGGGAAGGCCTGGTTTTTCCAAGGCCAAGAAGAAGGTTACCCGAAGCGGAACTTGAGTCTGTATTTCACGGTGTTGGGACTCTTCCGAGGGGCAGACACGGGCACCTTCGGCTTGACAGGACTGGGTGGCTTTTTCTTCTCAGGAATGGTGACCGTGAAAGAAAGTTCTGGCTGCTCTAGCTGCTTGAACCTGGGCAGGAAGTGAGTGGAGACGTGCTGGGGTTTGACCCGCGGGCTGCAGCCCCGCTTAGCCTTCCCTCTCTTGTTGAGGGCCACGTACCACTCCCGGCCCGCAGGCTCAGTTCTGTGTATCGCCGAAGCGTAGGTGTTATAGCTGTTTTCTTGAAATCGCTCCCTGAACTTGCAGTCATCTGTAAATCTGGCCTAGGGAGAGAAAAGAAGAAACTGAAGCAGTAATACTATTTTCAGCACGCAAGAAAACGAGGCCTTACACTGTGAAGAAAACCGAGAATTCCGGATGGAAGGCCTCCTCCTCCATCCATTCTCGTAAAGGCCCATCGCTTCTTTTAAAAGGTTGCTTTAAACTACTACTTTTCGTTTCTACCTCCCTACTTGATTCATTTTTGGAATGCTGCTTTCAGTTTACTATGTTCTTAGCGCAATAATATCAATGCATATAAAAAGGCTAACAGGAACTCTTAGTATATTGAAACTCTGTTACGGTTTTTAAACTACTTTGAGATTGGCAGTGAAAGAATTAGCTTCTAAAATTTTAAGTTATTTTTCCCCCTCTTAAGCCATTAAGAAAATAAATAGAACTGAATTACTAAGGAACAATTGCCTGGTAAAACATGAATTCATGTTCAGAGAAATGGGGTCATATTATTCCTTTGAAACAAGGATACATTTTTCAGTGTTGTCAGTGTGATTCATGGTGCTGAGAGAGGGGTAGCATATGGCCCTATTAATATTGCATGTGTTCGAGTTCTTCAGGAAAAAATATATCTTCACACAGTGACTCAGGAGAGAATATTCGATGCCAAGAAGAAAAAGTTACTTTTGGAGTCATTAGCAATACTTCATCCAGATCTCTCTCTCCCTCTCCAGACACAGACACACTGACACACACACACACACACAATGTCTGCCCTTGAAATGTTCCCAGAATAGCGGAAAAAGCAGACAAGTAAGTGTCCATCACGGTGAGGCTTGATAGCGGACTTATGATCACAGTCTGCAGAGGGTACAATGACAGCACAGAGGAAGGGATCCAGGAGGCTGGAGGTGGCCGGGCAGAGGGCCGAGAAGTCTTCTAGAAAAGATGACATTTGAGCTGAGTCTTCAAGCACAACAAGATATTAGTAACGCAGGTGACATGAGAAAGGGTTCTCAGAGGTGAAACAGTGTGTCCACAGGTCAGCAAGACACTACTATAGGTAGCAACTTCCACAGGTAGTAGCAAGTAATGGAGGTAGTAATCCCACAGGATGTGTGGTAGAAGAAGAGGAGGTCAGGCTGACACAGTTGGCCAGGGAGAGCTCTGAAGATGCATCGTTTGCCATGCTTGTCCTGCTGATGGTTTTCTCTTTACTGTGTACTTAGTGAAATAATACCAATATTTATAAAAACGACAGGAGGGGCGCCTGGGTGGCTCAGTGGGTTAAAGCCTCTGCCTTCGGCTCAGGTCATGATCCCAGGGACGTGGGATCGAGCCCCGCATCGGGCTCTCTGCTCAGCAGGGAGCCTGCTTCCTCCTCTCTCTCTCTCTGCCTGCCTCTCTGCCTACTTGTGATCTCTGTCTGTCAAATAAATAAATAAAATCTTTAAAAAGTAAAAAAAAAAAAATAAAAATGACAGGAACTCTTAATATATTTAAATTCTGTTACTGTTTTTAAATTACTTTGAAATTTTCACGTAAACAATTCACTGTTAGCAGAAGATTCTGTTGAGGAATTAAAGGAAAATGTATGGGGCAAAAGCATGAACACAGAGACAGATATGCAATCAAATGTCAATCTTGCCCATCGAGGGCAAGCTTTAGGCTCCTTATCCACAATCCTTATCCATAGGGCTATTGGGAGCACCAAAATATTTTTCTAGGGAAAAGATGGGTGGCTTTCCTCAAATGCGAAAGAGGCTAAAAGTCCCAAAGAATAAGGATTCCTATCCTAGACCAGACCACCAGGTTTCACAGTGGCGGGGAGCCCCATTATCTAGAGTTCCTGGGTTTGTGAGCACCAAATATGCTGATGTCTGTAGAGAAAAACACAAAATATATATGAGATATCCTTTTCATACCAGACCAAGAAGTACTACACTGGAATTAAGAGTTCTTTTTTTTTTTTTTCTTGCTTTTTCTAATAATGCCATGCTTTTCTCTCAGCATCTGAAAGTCAGAACACGGCAAGGCAATCTACGTAGATCCACTCTTGGTGGTCACATGAATTTGTTGGCTTGTGCAAAGCACTGATGATACTGGAAGACAAGCGATTTCAGGGTGCTTCCGACAGCTCCCAGCAGCATGCCGACGTTCTGTACGACACTTTGCCCAAGTTATTTACATTCAAGCATAGTTCAGTCAATAAGGCTCTTTATTGGAAGGCCAGGAACTTACAGCCGCGGGACGCGGGTGTTTTCAAGAACCACCACCTATGGCGTTCCTCGAATCCTGACGTCCCTACCAGCCTATGTCTAGGTCAAGGGCACAGTGCTGATGTCTCTGTACAACAGGACGCACTTACTGTTCCTATTTTTTATTAAAAAGACTTTCTTACAAGTCAATGTAGATTTTTTTTAATAGCTTGGCTTTTAAAAGGGCGTAAATGCTGTCGCATTTCATTTGATAATCCTAAAGTCTTATTTTAAAATAAAAGCTATAGCCATCTGTAATGTTTTCTGCTGCATAGAAGGACACACATTTTAGAAAGGCATATGGGGCTTCATCAAAGAGAGTAGCGGGTATATTTACCCTGCCTCATATTTTTTTTTTCAAATGTGCTTGAAAACATTTTTAAAAATTTATACATTATACCTTGACCTGACTTTACTCATGTTTGACAAAAATCCATTTTCCTGAAAAAGGATAGCAGTGATTGCTTTGTTCAATGTTGACTTTTTTTTTAAAGTGTACTGCAGTATTTAACCTTTCCTTTGCCGACACACACACACACACACACACACACACACACACACACCCGCGCTGAATTTAACTTACAGCAATCCCGTCTTAGAGCCTTCATATGGGTGGAAGCCCCCCAGTTCCACCCGCTCAAATTATTCTGTCTAAAACCTTCTTCTTTCCCTCCTTAGGATTCATGTTCTTCAGCTCTTAAGAGGAAAGAAGCCTCTTTGGGCTCTAGATTTTCCAAGGGTCACTGACTGTCACCGGGGGCAGAGGTGCCCTGAATCCGAGGACCCACACACTACGGGATACCCCACTACCTTTCCGGCCCCCACATGAGAGTAGGAGTGAAGGCACTCAGACTGTTTTGGCTTTCTCAATGGACTTCTAAATTCGTGTTTTGTCTGAAAAAGTCTTCCAGCTGCGATGGAACAGAACCATCTGAAACAAACCCTTCTGTGAATTTTTTCATCAGGAGATCTAGTTTCTTCTTGAGGAGCACGACTCCTGGCCTTGTTCAGAAACGACGGTGGCCCTAACCCTAACTTCTGTCCCTCATGTCATGCACGAACCGTTTATATGGCAGAGACTCAGTAAGCAATACGGGTCTTAGCTACAGGTGTTCAAATATACATATGCGTTTACCGTCACACAGTTTCGGATGGTCAGTTTTCCAGGCGGTTTTTAATTTTTTAAATCTCCTTTGAATTATAAGAAGTCCTTTGGCAAAACACATATTTTTTTCAATAATAGAACTACATTATTTTCCTAGATAAAGTGAAGCTGCCAGAAAGACTTTTTCTATAGCGCGGGTGTGAAGTGGAGAGGTGAATGAGATTTCAGGTAAGCTACTGAACTCAGGAGCCCCATGGCCGCAATGAGCTAGCACCAGCGGCCATCGCAAAACCGAACACTAAAATGGTCCTAAAGAACCCATATCTATGAAAAAATTCATTTTTACGGGTCTACTCAACAGATGCTTCCCGGCTATGTATCACATGTCAGGCACTCTGCTAGTTGCCACTTTTCCAATGAAAAACAAAACAGACACAGTCCTGTCCACACTCTTTGTTGAATTAAATGATGCGTTTTTCTCCTTAATTTCTCCCTGATCTTGCAAGTGTAAAAACACGTTACATTCAACAGATCATAATTGTAAAATTAAAATGAAATGTTCGGCTAATTTTTATGTAACTTGGTACAGTCCTAATGCAATTTAATATAGTCCTAATGGACAAAACAAATGAAACTTGAACAAATGAAGCTATTTTTTGCTTGTATAGCCTAATTCTTCAGAGGAAGAGAAAGAGTGCCATTAAGGAAAACAAGAAATTTTGGATTAGAAGGACTCTGTGCCTTGTTTCTACTCATCTCTTCCCACAGCGAGAACATACAATGGATGTTTAGAAGAAAGGTCAAATTCAGTTCAAAGAAAGTAAAACTTTGATTAACTGGATATTTTAGAAAAGACTAATTCCGCTTAATTGAAATCTGAGGGTCAAATAAGCCAAACAGAAAATTCTTTCTGAAACATTATTTTTTAAAAGCTTTCTAAAACCTCTTAACATAGTTTCATTCCTTCGTAAATACCCTGGTGTGTGATGATGGAGGATGTCGCCGGGAACGAGCTGCTGTTCTCACTTCATGCAGCAGAAACACGTATGTAGCATGCAGAAAGGGACGGAGAAGAGTGAATCTGGACCTACACCAGTATAGTCCTTGCAGTTTGTGGGGTATTTAATCAATTTTAGTTCTTTTTTTTTAAAGATTTTATTTATTTATTTGACAGACAGAGATCACAAGTAGGCAGAGAGGCAGGCGGCGGGGGTTGGGGGGGAAGCAGGCTACCTGCTGAGCAGAGAGCCCGATGCGGGGTTCGATCCCAGGACTCTGAGACCATGACCTGAGCCGAAAGCAGAGGCTTAACCCACTGAGCCACACAGGCGCCCTTCAATTTTAGTTCTTTATTTTGCTTTGTTTTCTTTGATTTGCCTCCCTCTTTTGAAAAACCTTGTGAAGGAATAATTAACCAAATACAAATAATTACAATGTTATTGTGGGCTACAGCCAATTTATATTATTAAATAATTAAAACATTATTATAGACTGTAATAAAAACAATTATAAACCAAATTGTACTTTAAGCAAAGTTCCCTTACTGCTTGCATCCCTGCGTCTGGTTCCCCTGTCTCCTGTCAGTGCTTCTTGGGTCCCACCCCTGTTCCCACTGATGGGGCTACCCCGGCCAGGTGCCCTTAGCCTAGGCTGTCTTGTGTGGTTGTGCTGAATGTTCCCTGACCAA